CACACACACGCACACACACATACGCACACACACACTCTCATAAATACACATGTATAGAGTCACATTTCTTGCCTCAAAAGGTCTTCAGACGTACATTGTGATACCTCGGGGTATTCAAATGCATTCAATCGGCATGGAAGGTAGGCTGAAATGAGTAACGGCGCTTAACCCTCAAACACATTCCTGTCTACAAATGTAGACATTGCATTTTCAATCTTCAACAACTTTTTTATTTCTTATTTCATTGGGCTGAAATTTTATTTCCAAGAAAATTTTAGTTTGATCAAACGATTTTTAAAACTTCAACAAAAAATTTTTATAGGTGGCGCTACTAGATGTAAATCATCTTATTTCACTTACCTCTCTACATTTGTAGACATAACGGGGGTCAAGGTGATCGAGTGACCTTTAATACCCCTATAAAGAAGATGATCTGCTGTTTCATTCACCGTTTTGTAATAATAACTTATTCATATATTTATACATACATAATTACATTTCTGTCAGATTTCTGCCTTATGTATGTTTCTGCCGAATAGTACTTGCCAAGCAGTGAATCAATCTATTTTTTATTATCACTCGTAAACATTTTGTGTTCAGATTTTTAAAATTCTGTACTTGAATACTGCTATTACAAATTCAGAAATTAAAATGTCTAAAAAATATAATTTAAAAGAAGCTATTATTTTTATTAATGTATCTGATAGTGAGGATAAAGTAGATAATGTTGAAGATCCTAATATTAGTGATTCTTCATCGGATCAGTCATCAGACACACAAGTTGAAGATAATTTCAATAGCGACAGTGACATTGATATTGATATGAAACTTACTACATATGATGATCTATTGCCTAGTAGCAGTAATGAAATGGAAGAAAGCGATGAAAATGAAGATGGGTCCATCAAGTTTGAAACAGTGAAGTCGCCCAATGGTATAGAGTGGACATCTTCAAAGCCAGTTTCGAGAAGACTAGCAAGAAATATAGTTAAATTTTCTCCAGGTCCAACAACAACTTTTAACGATGAATTGGAATTATTTCATTGTTTTTTAGATGAAAATATATTGCGTGTGATTTTATTAAACACAAACAGAAGAATGAAAGCCATTGGGAAGAAAAAATTTTCTTTTGAGGAATTGAAAGCTGGTATCGGTATTATGATAAGAGCAGGTGCAGATAAAGATAATTTATCATCTGTTCGTTCCCTATGGTGTCCCAAAGATTCAAGGCCATTTTACAGAATTGCAATGGCTCAAAATAGATTCAATTTATTGGTTCGTTATCTGTCACTAGATAACCGAAATACGAGAAAAGAAAGGCAAAAAAGCGATAACATGGCAGCAGTAAGAGATATTTGGGAAATGTTCCAAAACAACATTAGAAAGCATTATGTACCATCTGAATGGCTAACGGTTGATGAACAACTTTATGGTTTTAGAGGATATGCACCTGGTCGTAGTTACATGCCAAATAAACCAGCTAAGTATGGAATTAAAATATTTTGGGTTTGTGATGCTACAAATGGTTTTGCCTTGAAAGGAGAAATTTATGCTGGCAAAAAAGGAGATGATCGACAAGTAGGTCTTGCTGAAGATATGGTTTTAAAGTTGGTGGAATGCTATAAAGGAAGCGGCAGAAATATATTTATTGATCGCTATTTTACTGGTTATTCATTATGTGTGAAGCTCCTTGACATGGGATTAACTATGACTGGTACAATTATGCCTAGTAGACGGGACGTACCCAAGTGTTTTAAAAATGTAAAATCAAGAGAATTATTTTCTACTAAAGAATTATGGGAACACAGTCAGAAAGTGTTATTATTGCCATATGTCCCAAAAAAAGGTAAAAACGTTTTGATGATGTCTTCCATGCATACATCCGCATCACCATCACTTGAACGAGAAGATAAAAAATCTTTGGTTATTTTAGATTATAACAGCGGTAAAGGTGGTGTCGATCTATTAGATAGCTGTATTGAGGATTTTTCAACAAAAAGAAAAACTAATAGATATCCAATGGTATATTTCTATAATATTTTAGACATAGCGATTTACAACTCATTTATTGTTGGAAAACAGCAAGATAAGATAAACAAATTCAGGAAACAATATATGAAGACATTAGCACACAAACTTGCATATGAAAACATATGTCAACGAACCAATGACCAATCAGTGGCATTTCAAATAAGAGAAAGTTTATTGCAATATGGTTTTCCAATTCAAAATCAAGCGGTGAAAAATGCATCAAATGTAACAAGTCATCCAAAGAAGTGTCAAGAAAGAAAATGTAGAAAATCTACAAGAAATAAATGTGAAAAATGTTTTAAATACGTTTGTAGTATTCATTCAAAAAAATCTTTAGTGTGTTTGTCATGTCAAGTATAAAAAACCATCATGAACATTTTTAAACAATATACTGTTTTTTATTGTCTTTTATTTGTAATAAAAATATTTTTATATTTTGCTAAGTATTAACAGTGAATAAAAGTATTAA